GAAACACAGGGAATCCAGGGTGGATGATCCCTTCAGGACCAGTGGTGAGAGTGGCAATACCAGGAGGGTGGGGGGAACATGGGGTGGAAAGGGGGAACCGATTACAAGGATCTACATATAACCTCCTCCCTGGGGTACATAGAACAGAAAAGTGGATGAAGGGAGATGTTGGATAGTGTAAGCTATGACAAAATAATAATTTATAAATTATCAAGGGTTCATGAGGGAAGGGGGAGTGGGAAGGGAGGGGGAAAAATGAGGAGCTGATGCCAGGGCCCTACATAGAGAGCAAATGGTATGAGAATGATGAAGGCAATGAATGTACAAATGTGCTTTACATGATTGATGTATGTATGGATTGTGATAAGAGCTGTATGAGCCTCTAATAAAATTATTTTTTAAAAAGACATGACAAAATAGTAATAATTTATAAATTATCAAGGGTTTGTGAGGAAGGGGTGGCAGGAAGGGAGGAGGAAAAATGAGGAGCTAATACCAAGGGCTCAAGTAGAAAGAAAATGTTTTGAGAATAATGATGGCAACAAATGTACAAATGTGCTTGACACAATGGATGGATGGATGGATGGATTGTGATAAGAGTGGTATGAGCCCCCAATCAAATGATTTTTTTCCCAATAAAATGATTTTTAAATTGTTTTTAAATTTAAAAAAAAGGCACTGGTGGGTTTGGATGGATGACCTTTCAGTTCATAGCAAAAGCGTTATCATTGCACAATCAGGACTCGGATCTGGCTAAAATTGCGAGGAGGGTACAAAAACGTTTGAAATTTGGAGGGGGTGGGGACACTCTGTTCACCAACCATTTCTAAACACAAATTTGAAGCTTCTCTGGAACCACATCTGAACCCCACCCATCCCGTGTGCCTTCCCATCTGTCATAGATTTCCTCCTTGAGTGCTCACTCAAGGAGGGAGGGACTACTCACAGGTTCTTAAAAGCATCCTCTCGAAGGCCCTGGGGGAGGCTCGGTGTGATGTCTGGCTGGAGAAGGAGGCCTGAAGACCCCCTCAGCACTGTGCCCAGGATCTCCACGCACTCCAGGGCTTTCAGCACTTGGAAACACCTCTCCAAGGTGACACGAAGCAGGCTGCGGTTCACACCAGGGCTCTGCAAGGCTTGCTCCCGCATCCCTCCCAAGTCAATGACGATGTCCTCCAGGTCCTAAAGGAACGAGAGGCATTGTCTTGAAAACTGTCTCTCAGTCGGGAAGCCCTTAGAGGGACCCTGCTTTGCAGCCATGGGGAAATTTAGAGCTACTGTTTAACACTATGTGGCCATGATGAGTTGGGATCAACCTAATGACAATGTGTTGGTTTGGTTTGGTTGGTTGAACACCGTGCACTGTCAAACTTGCTAGAACTCTCCCACGTCCTATAGAATGCAGTCAACGCCTTCCCCAGTTCCCCCCATGCTGGGTGATTTCTCAGTGTCCAGGCCCTGCTGTGGCTGGCATGCAAACCGATTGCTGTCAAGCAACTCCAACTCATAATGTCTCCATGTGTGTCAGAGAGGAACATCATCCCATAGGGCTTTCAATGACGAAGACCTTTCAGATCACCAGGCCTTTCTTCCAAGGTGTGTGTGTGTACACTACCTTAGCCAAGCTCAGTCATCAGCTCCTGGGTGAAATCTCTGATCCTCTCTGATCTTAGTCAAAATGAATCTCCCTCCACTCAGTGCTCCTGGAGCATTTTGACTAAAACTGTAGGGTGCGTTAAAATGTTTATGTGACCGTCTTTTCTGCAAGCCAGTCATTCTCACTCCTGGCTACACATCAGAATCACCTTCAGAGTTTGTTTGTTTTTTAATACTAATGCGCAGCACCACCCCCAAGATTCTGATTTAATTGGCTTGGAGCGGATCCTACAAAACCAGTTGATAGGAATATGCAGCCAGAGTTTCGTCAGAAAAGTCCTTGGGGCCCAAGCCATCTGTCTATGGAGTGCCTGGTACCTAGAAGACATCGATGCACAGGCATTAGCATGGATGAATGAGTGAACAAAGTTACGTTCCAGCCATACTGATCCCTTTGATCATCACCCAATGCCACCTCCACAAATAACAGTCACTACTGACCATGCGCTACCCACCAGGCACAGGGCCAAGCACGTTGCAAGCATGCATCGTCTCATTTAATTCCTAGGATTGTCCTACGGGTTGAGCCCAAGAGTCCTGGGGGCAGACCTTCCTAAATCCAAATCCCAAGCCTTCCACTTCTTATTGGTGTGTGCTTGCACAGATTATTTATCCTCTTTAAAGGCAGATAAAATAATTGCCTCTCTTTTAGCTCTGGGTAAGAAGTCAATGGAATAATAAATGTAAAATCCCTGGAACCTAGTAAACAATCAGCAAATCTTATAGCCTATTATTATCTCAGTAATACAGATGTGACAGGTAATGCAATGAGTCTATTTGGCTAGGCTGAGAGGTTTGGCAGACACTGTAATCACTTTCCATTTTGTGATATGAGGTAAAGTCGATCAAGTGGAAGGGGAATTTCCTTGAGGTCCGCATCGATATATAAATGGATGTCTGGCAATGCTCTCTTTCTCTCTCTCTGTCACTCTCTCTCTCTCTATCTGGGCTCTGCAGTCTTCTGGTCTGACCTCCATTTCTTGGACATAAGCCAGTAGAGCCCTCCAACTGGTCCACTGTCTGACCTGCAGACTTTGAATTCATCAATGCCCAGACCCTGCAACCACATGAGCCAGCAGAGATTTAAACCCTTAGCAAAGCAGGTGGCAAACGAAGGTTTAAACCCTTAGCAAAGCAGTCGGCAAAGCAGCCACATCGAGTCTGCTGCCTATTTTCGTACACAGAATTCACTGGTAGATGGCTAGCTCGGCTTATTTGTTTACAAGTTTTGGCTGCTTTCAAGTGACAGTGCCAGAAGTGAATGACTTCAGGCAGAGATGCTGTGGTGCATAAAGCATCACATTGTGACTATCTCATCCTTTACAAGGAGCCCTGGTGGCGCAGTTGGTAAACACTCAGCTGCCAACAGAAAGGTGGGCAGTTCAAGGCCACCAACCTCTCTGTGGGAGAAAGATATAACAATCTGCTTCACTAAAGATTGCAGTCTTGGAAGCCCTAGGATGGCAGTTGTACTCCATCCTAAACTGTCACTATGAGTCGGAATTGATTTGATGGCAACAGGTTCCGCCTTTTACATTAGAGTGTTGCTGACCCCTCCCCTGAATAATGCCTGACATGTAGAAAACCCTCAATACACATTAGCTCATCCTCATAGACCAGCCCCCCAGATGTCTTGCCATATCTTTGCACTGCCTTTACTATTTTTTATGTCTTGCCTTTTTTTTTAATTACAAACTTTTTAACTTCAATTCACTTCAAAGGAAAATATTACATCCCTACCAAAGTCACAGGTTTGAAGCCTTCATGATAGCTTCATAACTGACATTAAAATAAACATTTAATGATTCAGATGTTTGCATGCTTCAACTCTTTTTGGGAAAGAGTGAGTCACACGAATCGTCTCTAACAAAGACAGCACTAAACCTCACTCTTCCAGATCATAAGGGCCTTTCGGGTCCAGCGGCTTTGCTCTGTGATGCTTTTATACCACTCTACCTTCGTTTGGCAGAACTGATCCATTTCTGTTTGCTGTCTCCCCTTCAGCCTATAAGCTCCTTGAGGGCAGGCAGTCTTGCATCTCAGAACTCAGTGCCCCTGTTGCAAAGTCATCGTTCTTGAAGGTTTACTGAACCAAGTTACTGGAACAGCCTCTTTTCCCCCTTACTGCTGAATGCCCCTGTAAATATGAACTGTACGACCCTTCCACTGAGCTTTGGGGAAGAAAGTGAGAATCAAGAATCCTATTCTTCCAGTGTGGTTGGGGGTTGGGGGAGGGGGTGCAGTTGAAAGGAGAGCTTTAGAAGGACCCATTCATTCCATTCAACACAGAAACCCTGACCCTAGACTTCCCTATGCCAGGATGCCAAGAACGCCTTACCAAGCGCTCCTTCTGGTCTCCAAAGAGGCATTTCATGGCTGTGTGGAACTGCTGGGCATCTGTTTCCCTCAGGATCTCCAGCAGCTCCTGGGGCCGATACAAATGCTGCTCCAGGTGATTGCCCATGGCCGCCTGGAGGGGTGGAGTCAGGGCAAAGGGATCGGGGCTCATGGCAGCACCATGGCCAGTGGTCCAGGCACTGCATCTACTTTACCCAGCCTGGGCCAAGTTCCCTCTGGCCCCAACTTCCCTTGGAAAACACAAAAGTTTAGCAACTGTAGGTAGGTATCCACCCCCTCCTGATCATCAGAGGGACCGAGGGGCAGTTACATTCTTGAATTACTCTTCCAGTCGACTAAATCAGGGCAAGCAGCCTGATCTCCACCCCACCCCCCATTCTAGGACCTGTCTGGTCCCGTAGTTGAGTGAATTTTCACATCCAGACCCACTAGCATCTTCCGGAAAGTTCATTGGCTCAGGGGAGTGCTGCGTCAAACTGTCCCCGTGCTCCAGGCTGCCAAGACGGGAGGACAAGTCAGGGAGAATGGCCACACCCTAGAGATGAGAAGTGAAGGCCAGTAACCCACCTGGCAGACCTCTGGTACCTGGAGAATGTGTTTCTAAATATCACTACGAAGGTAGCATAAGGTGGTGTCAGGGCCAAAATAAAGGCTCTAGAACTCGACTCGTTAGCTGCCATCAGGTTGGCCCCTAACATATGGCAACCTCATGCACAGTGGGATTGGACTGTTGGCATATGTAGGGATTTCACGGACTAGAAACAGATCACCGGGTCTTTCTTCTGGAGCCAGACCCCCATGTACAAATCCCTGCTGGCCACTGACTGGCCAGATGTCCGTGAGCAGAAGACGTCACTAGGGATGTGAGATAAAATACAGGACACACCGTTGAACGTGAGTTACACGTCAACAACAATTCCTTTAGGATCAGCATCTCCAGAATGTGACATGGGACATACTGGCTAAAAATAAAGAAATCACTCCTTTCTTTTATTCACAATTCTACTTTAAGGGAATAAGTAGCCTGTATTTCCATGCTCCAGATCTACACTCCCTCAGCGCCTGCTGGTCAGCTCTGAAAAACAAAGGCAGCAATAAGATTTTCCATGTGGCGCTGTGTGGAGAGTCAATGAATGCCTGCCACTTACATGAATGCCTGGCACCCAGTAGTGCTCAGGAAGGGTCATCATTATGCTGTCATGAGTGAGTTCAGTAGGATGCATTTAACGTTCTCCACGTGTCTGGTTCGTGTTGGTGGTCACCCGGCCTGCCTTGTTCCCAACTGAGGCCCCAGTGACTGGGACTGTTCCTGGCACAGAGTATATGCTAATTAAATAGATGCTGGGTGAAAGGGTGTGTGTGTGTGTGTGTGTAGTCCCTGTTTGATATGCAAAGTTAAGTATTTGTGTGTGTGTGTGTGTATGTGTGTGTGGTCCCTGTTCCATATGCAAACAATTAAGTGTTTATGTGTGTGTGTGTGTAGTGCTGTTTGATATGCAAACAGTTAAGTGTGTGTGTGTGTGTGTGTGTGTGTGTGTGTGTATAGTCCCTGCTTGATATGCAGTTAAGGGTGTGTGTGTGTGGTCCCTGTTCAGTATGCAAACAGTTAGGTATTTATGTGTATGTGTATAGTCCCTGTTCGATATGCAAGCAGTTAAGGGTGTGTGTGTGTGTGTGTATGTGTGTGTGTGTGTGTGTAATCCCTGTTCAATATGCAAAGAGTTAAGTGTGTGTGTGTGTGTAGTTCCTGTTTGATATGCAAACAGTTGTGTGTGTGTGTGTGTGTGTGTGTAGTCCCTGTTCGATATGCAAACAGTTAAGTGTTTGTGTGTGTGTGTGTGTGTGTGTTTGTGTGTGTAGTCCCTGTTCGATATGCAAACAGTTAAGTGTTTGGCTACTAACCAAAAGGTTGGCCATTTGAGACCAGAGGGGAATGGATGGCAGTCTATTTCCAAACGGGCAGAGGTTCTGAAAACCCTGGGTATACTCTGACACCTACTGGGCACTTTGGGTTTATCCAGAGAGATGGGTCGTATTGCTCAGATTAAAGTATACACATCTCATCAGGAACCGTACTGCTAAAGAGGAAAGAGAAACGGCCTCTCTTTGAGTTGTCACAGGAGGAAGGATGCAGGTCCCTGGGGCCATGAGTCACCGCCCCTGATGGGGACTTGGTATGTGGCTCTCAACCCACGTCCTGACTATCATCATAACTTGAATGCTGCTTACCACTTTTGTTTTCATTAAAGAGCAAGAAGAAATGGAAGCAACAAAGATGTGTGTCCGAACTTCACTTGTTGGCCAAGCAAAAAGACTTCTATGCTGAATCAAGTCATAGCCTTTTTTTTTTTCAACTGTAGTGCACGTATACACACCACAACATTCGCCAACACAACTTCCACAATCACAGCTTAGTCGCCTTGGTGCATAGAATGCCACTCAGATCACAGTTCTTGAACGAGCCAAAGAATAGTTCCCCTGAGTCCTGTGCTATTCCCAATGTGAGCTGCATGATTGACATTTTTCTCCATGACTTTCTGAAAACAGATAACCAACAAAGCAATAAGTCAAACTCTGATGAGCAGCGTTTACCAATTTCCACGGTGCCAACCCTTCTACCGTGGTGGGTTTCAAGGTACCAGTGTGGCATCAATGAAAACAACGTGAGCCGCTGTGATTGTGAAAGTGATAGTTACTTCTAGCCCCCAGCTCACGTCTCCAGCTTACCTTGTCCCTGAGTTGGCAACCTCTGTGCCTTGAGAGGGGGACATACCCACGGAGTTCAAGGACTCACCTGCAGGCTGTCAATGGTGAAGGCAACATTCCGAGAATTCAGATAGGCCAGGATTCTGTGGGACAGGCCCGCTGTCCACACATGAGAGCTTCAACAGCATGGAGAGGAGAAAAGACCATGATGATCGTGCTGTGCTGGTCGAGTGTCCAGGGGACCCCAGAGAGGATGGCAAGATGGGCCAAGGATAGGAGGAGCTTTGTGCTTTGAAGCAGGAGATGTGTTCATCCAGGCCCTTGATGGGAAGTTTCTGACCCTAGGTCTCTGCCCGGATCCCATTGTCTCAAAGCCAATCATCAATTTCTGAACTGTCTACAATATTCTCATTCCCCACTAACAATCCATTTAAATCCAAACATACTGATTTGGAAAGATGCCTTTCCTATATTACATTTAAAAAGCAGACACTATGTACCTCACCTGAGACAGGCATAGGAAGTTGAATGAGGGCTCAGTCAAAAAGGTGAATGCTAGCTCTCCCCCATAGTGGTCTGACCTGAGGCATCTATGCTTAATTTCTCTGTGGCTCAGTTTCCTTTCTATGAAATATGGATAATGACTGTGAGAATGAACCCAGGCCACATATGTGAAGCGCTGAGAACACTTGACTAACACACAGTCAATACATGTTCACTCATCTCCTTTTATAATCCCTTTTTTTGTGTTGTGATTAAAGGACATGAATTCATGGATCAATTACTTAATAAAATTTTCATCTGAAAGGATACACCCCAAACACCGGATGGGAGTGATTTGGGAGAGAACGTATTTGTAGGGATCTTTCACCTTAATATGAAACCCTGGTAGTGTAGTGCTAATGTGTGAGACTTCCAACCACAAGGTCAGTAGTTTGAAATCACCAGCCACTCCATGGGAGAAAAATGGGGCTTTCTACTCCTATAGAGAGTCTGGGAAACTCACGGGGGCATTTCTACTTTGTCCTATGGAGTGGCTGTGAGTCGGCATTGATCTGATGGCAGTGAATTTGGTCTATTGGTTTGTATGTTTCCACCTTAATATAATGAGTACCTCTGTCAGGGGACCCCATGGCCTCCACGTGTCCTCCTTCAAGAATGACCTGTCGATATCTGCTGTCCTGCAATGCTCTCTATCTCCCTGTCCATCGCCCAGGCTCTCGCAGGCAGTGTGCAGTATCCAGCAGACAGATGGCAGTGAAAGGAACAGAATGTAGAACCAGGCTGCTCAGCGCACACCACTTCTTACCTACGTGACCTTCAACACAGGAATTGCCTCCCTGGGCCTCAGTTTCATCATTCTATTCCAAAGGACAAAAGCAGGGCCTACCTCAAGGGATACTTGTAAGGGTTTGGTGAGTTGACGTGGATAAAGCACTTACAGCAGAAACGCCTGCCATAGTAAACACTTGATAAAATTTAGTCCTTCTGCTAGAGAAAACTCAAAACCAAATCCACTACCGTCAAGTTGACTCCAACTCTTTAACACGGTTTCTGAGGCTACACATATTGACAAGAGCAGTTAGCCTCATCTTTTTCCTGTGGAGCACCTGGGGCATTTGAACCGCTGACCTTGCAGTTAGCAATCCAATGCCTACCCAACCCCAACACCAGGACTCCTTTCTGAGGACAAAATGTGTCTGGAACAAATGCATCTACTTTAACACATGTGCATTGATTGACACGTTCATAACGATCATGTACTACTTTTGGCAATTAAGAACCTTCTATTAAGGAGGCTTATTAAGAATCGATCCCAGATATGACAAAATACCCATTTATAAACTATCAAGGGCTCATGTGGGAGGGGGAGCGGGGAGGGAGGGGAAAAATGAGGACCTAATGTCGGGGGTTTAAATGGAGAGAAAATGTTTTGAGAAATGATGTACAAATACACTTTACACAATTGATGTGTGTATGGATTGGGATAACAGTTGTATGAGCCCCTAATAAAATGTTTAAAAAATTAAAAAAAAAAAAAAAAGAATCGATCCCATCTCCTGGTCTCCCTTCCCCCTAGAATGAGTTACCTGTGAAACTGTATGAGATCCAGTAAGGCTACAATGGAATAAAATGAAAGGACAACTTAAAAGCAATCATTCCAGGGAGATCATAGCAATATTCTGCTTGAAATTCTTAGAAGAAGCAAATAGAGCCAGAGTGAGAACATTACCATTCAGGTAGCTTCCCTCTATTAGTTCTTCCTAAAAGCCAAAGAGATAGCATCAACGAGAGCATCCAAAAATTGGCATTGGCCAATGCAGGGGCTTCTGATTAAAATTGAATACTTACTGCCATTTTTTGTAGCAATGGATGCAAATCTGTAAGAAAACCATAGATTGTATAAGTAGAATTGAATTATGTGACTGTCAAAAATAAAAATATGGATTAGAAAAACAGCCCCCCAAAGACACTCATAATGGAAATTTATAGTTCCTTTTAATGATACCTTGTGTCCTTATGGACCCAGTATGAGAATGTCCTGGTTCCAAAAACCCTTTTAGAAAAATTCTGAAAAGTCTGCACACACACACACACACACACACACACACACACACACACACCACAAAGCACTCTAAGCCATCACGGACGTAAATCAATCTCTACTAAAGACACTTCATTCCCTAGCACGTGTAGAAACAAAGTATGAGGGTATCTTCCTTGGGACTTACCCTGTCTGGAATGTAGAACTCCCCAACTCGAGACCGTATGACTCAGAAAAAGGAACAGGAAAAGGGAGTATGCCCTAGGCTCCTGAGACATCCTTCTGCGGCTGATACAAACAGAGCAGAGAAACATTACTTAAGTGTATAAAACATTCATAACACAAAGGAAAAGACCAATAGATGCAGAATCCCTTAAGGTTGTTTATATGTTGTTATTGTTGAGGTTTTTCAATACATATTTTAAAAATTCTATATACACAATTCCATCTAAATCCCGATCCTAATCTAATATACATTCATCTCTCTCCAGGGTAAATACAGCTGCCCGTGTACATTCTCTTCCCAAACCCACTCCCAGCAGAGAGGAGTGGTTAAAACCATAGACTCTTATATTTGACAAGGGACTTGTATCCAAATATAAAATGAAGTCTTAGCATTCAATAAGAAAAAAACAAAGAAGCCAATGGGGAGGAAATGTTTTAAAAATATACATTGAAACTTCACACACACAAAAGTAATCCATGAATAAACTCTCATGTGTTAAAAAAATGAGAAAACCTACCAAAATTTATTAAACAAGGTTTCAGACAGGCAGCACAAGACTGAGATGTTTAACAGAAATGAAATAATTCACCTGGGCCCTACAACTGCTCTAACTTACTACATGGAGTTTACTACGTTGAAGAGACAGAGTTGGGGTTCAGGGAAGTCAAGACAGCTAGAATCTGCATAGAGGGAGCATTCTGGAGACAGGTGGAAGGGTCCTTTCAAGTCCTTAGCTGAATACTCAGTGTGATTACCTGAGGCTGGTGAAAGAACACAAGAGGCAGAACAATGATTTGAACTCCACCAACTGGAGTGACCATAAATACCTGTGCATCACAGAGAGTCCTTAGCAGTGTGTTTCCTTGGTAACAAATGAATCTTATAGTCTACTAAGAACCTTTCCTAATAACAAACCTTGAAAGGGTCAAACTGATTCCAAACAATTTAATTATACCCCAGAACAAACCCTAACAATATTTAAGAAAATATTACCTAATCCAACAACAAACCATGTAAAATCTAAAATATCTACCATCCAATCAAAAATTACTAGGCATACAAAGAAGCAGGAAAATATGGCCATTACCAGGAGAGAGAGAAAAATTCAACAGGCTAGAAATGACACAGATAGTTGAGTTACCAAAAAAGAATGTCAATTCATTGGGCCTCTACTCAAGTACGCCCTCAACACAAGAACACTTTGTTCTAATAATCTGTCATTCTGAGATGCTCACCTTCCCGATGTGATCGCTGAAGACAAATGGGTACATAAACAAATGTGGTGAAGAAAGCTGATGGTGCCCAGCTATCAATATATACAGTGTCTGGGGTCTTGAAGGCTTGAAGATAAACAAGTGGCCATCTAGCTGAGAAGCAACAAAGCCCACATGGAAGAAGCACACCAGCCTGTGTGATCATGCGGTGTTGACGGGATCAGATATCAGGCATCAAAGACCCAGAACAAAATATCATGTCAATGTATTTTGGGGGGGTGGGGGGAGTACGGAGTGGAGGCCCAAAGCCAATCTGTAGGCAATCGGACATCCCCTTAGAGAAGGATCTCAGGTAGAAGACAGGCCAGTCAGTGTGCAGTATAGCACCGATGAAACATACTTTTCCTCTGGTTCTTTAATGCTTCCTCACCCCCGCTATCATGACTCTAATTCTACCTTACAAATGTGGCTAGACCAGAGCATGTACATAGGTACAGATATGAGCAGGAATCACAGGGAATACAGAACAGGTAAACTCCTCGTGACCAATATTGAGAATAGCCATACCAGGAGGGGAAGAGGAAGGTGGGAGGAGAAAGGGGGAACTGATCACAATGACTTACCTGTCCCAGGGGGATGACAACAGATAAGGGGGTAAAGGAAGACATCAGACAGTGCAAGCCATGGAAAAATAATAATAATTTATAAAGTATCAAGGGTTCATGAGGAAGGGAGAGAGGGAGAGGGAGGGGAAAAATGAGGAGCTGATACCAAGGGCTCAAGTAGTAAGAAAATGTTTTGAAAATGTTGATGGCATCAAATGTACAAATATGCTTGACACAATGGATTGCGGTAAGAGTTGTACAAGCCCCCCCAAAAATGATTTTTTAAAGAAAAGAATGTCTATTATGTATAGACTCTATGTTTTAAAAGGTCAAGAAAGACATGACTATGTTCACTGAAGATGTGGAAATACCCAAAAAAAGACACAAATTGAACTTACAGAGGTAAGAAATACAATATCTGAACTAAAAAGTATGCTAGGTTTGATTAACAGCATATCAGACATGGCAGAAAGAAAGAATGATGAACATAAAGTCAGATCCATCGTCCAAAATAAAAAACACAAGGGGGAAAGACAAAAACTGAAGAAAGCCCTGAGACAATGTCAAAGAATCATAAACAAAACTGGAGTCCTAAGAAACGGAGCTAGAGCGGCAGGAAAAATTCTGGAAGAAATCATCGCCAATTTTTCTTCAAGTTTGATAAAACTATCCACCCGTAGTTACAAGAATCTCAACACACTGCAAGCAATAGAAGCATGAAAAACACAAGCCAAGAAACATCATAGTCAAATACCCATTTATAAACTATCAAGGGCTCATGAGGGAGGGGGGAGCGGGGAGGGAGGGGAAAAAATGAGGACCTAATGTCGGGGGTTTAAATGGAGAGAAAATGTTTTGAGAAACGATGTACAAATGCGCTTTACACAATTGATGTGTGTGTGGATTGGGATAACAGTTGTATGAGCCCCTAATAAAATGTTAAAAAATATATATATAAAAAAATTTTTTTTAAAAAAGGGGGGGAAGAACATCAATAGACATTTCATGAAAATGTATATACATCAAAAACTATAAAGTTCTGTAGATAACATAGGGACCAATCTAGGAATCCTAATTTACAGCATATATACCCTATTAAACATAACTAGACATGCACCAACAACAGAATATAATCTAGGTAACTGAGATGACCTAAAATTTAAAACATAGGCTCATCAACACGCTTTCCCAAGGACTTCCAGCAAGATGGCAGACGACTCTCCACAACAAAGACACAAGAGACCACTGGAAACAGACACATAGAGCAAGCCTAGAACCCTGAACTTCAAAAGTAGCTCAACTAGAATAAGAAACCTGTTGAAAACAATGAACAAAACGACAGTGAATTGTCAACTGGCTTGACGTAGTATTGACATTTTGATTTTTGCAAGCAGTATTCCAATCAGGGCAATGACCTTATAACTGGTGTTGCTCACCCAGAACCACAACAGCACCCACAACAAGACACAATCTCCTCCCTTATTCCCCAGACCCTCTTGTGGACCAGCGCACCGCCGACAACTCCCACCCTAGGCAACCAGTGGCTGGTGACAGGACCGTCCCCACCCCCCTCTATATTTCCTGCAGTCAGAGGCACATCTTCATGGACTAGACAGCAGGTTCAGCTCACTCTCGATTCTGTAGGCCACACTCTCCATTTCCTTGGACCAGCAGATACGCAGTGCCAGTCCCAGCACAGTGCCCCAAACACCATCTAGGCTGGCAGAACTAGACTCCCTGCTCCCAGTTGGCTTCTTTGCCAGCAGGCACTTCTAAGACCAGGCACTCACCCACCCTCCACAGCCCCCTGCAGCAAAGTGTGCCAACCGACATTGGCTCTGCTGCTCTCCGTCTCTCTCTGTCTGACACGGCCGCAATCCAGATACGCTGCCCCTCGATTTTCTCATTTCATTTTTTTCTCTCTCTGCCCTGGCGTTTTCTTCATTTTCCTCTTCTTGAATCTGTTTTCTTTTTTCTCTTTGCTTTTCACCTTCCCTTTTCTTTGTTGTTACTTTTTTCATTGTCTCTTTTTGTTCTAATTTTTTTTCCTACTCCCTAGTTTTGTTTTGTTTTCCTCCTTGTCTGTTTTCTTTTCATTTATTACTCTCTTTGCTCTAGTTCTTTGTTTTCTCCCTTATTTTATTGCTGTTGTTGTTGTAATTAGTTGTTTTTTATCCCTTTCTTTAATTTTTTTCTTTTAGCCCCACCCAGCAAGAGACAGCAATCGTGCCGCATTGCCCAGGCAAACCCACACCTCTTCATCCACTGGAAGAGGGACAGCACCCAGTCTTGTACCATCTGATTAATGATAAGTGGGTGTGGACCAGCCCAACCACCCTCCACACAACCAACAAACAATAGAGGTCACACACTCCCATTCTCAGTCATACCCACTAGGAGGTACGTAGTGAGTGCCTCGGTGCTGACAAGCTACTGAGGAGCACGCGCGCGCGCACACACACACACACACAAATTAATCAACCTGGAAAAACATACGAACATACAATCATCAATTAAATAAACACCATAATGTCTAAGACAACCAAATTGTGTTAGTCTGGGTACTTTAGAGAAACAAATCCACAGAAACTCATGTATAAGAGAGAGTTTCATATAAAGGTAAAGTGCACATCAAGGAAACATCCCAACCCAGTGCTGCCCAAGCCCACAAGTCCACCATCAATCCATATGTCCAACGCCAATCCACAAAGTCATCCTCCATCTCACAAAACACATGCAATGGCGTCGACTGCAGGAGGAAAGCCGAGTCAGTGAATGTGTAAGCATCTCAGTGCTGGCAGGGGTCTCCACACGGCTGCTCCAGCACCCACGGCTGCATCGGGAGAGGTCCATGTGGCTTCTCCTAGGGATGTCTACAGTAGACAGCCTCATCTTTCTCTGACAGAGCAGCTGGTGGATTTGAACCACTAAGCTATGGTTAACCTTTCACCGCTTACCTCACAGTAATAGTAGGTCTCCCTAGAGACAATAGGCGACTTCAATTCACAAAAACAAGCAAAGCAGAGGGCTCAAATAAGTGATGAAAATACACAGCCAGAGACATTCTGAGAAAGAAAAGTTATGGATTGGAACTACCTGGTAAGGAATTCAAATTCATGTTATTTAGGTACTTTCAATGGAATGAGACAAAGATCAAGAAAAGTCAGCACATCAAAACCACCGTCCACTCCACAGGAGAAAGAGGAAGCTTTCTATTCCGGTAACAAGATACAATCTTAG